CCCAGGGTGCTGGGAGTGAAGTAGGAGCTTGGAGGCGCTGCACAGCTCAGTCACAGGTGGAGTGTTCCCTGTCAGAAATGCTCGCCCAGAAGATTTTGGATTTTCAGATAACAAATACTTCATCCGTGTAAGGAGACAGTGGACCTTGATTTACTGATTCAGTTCTTTCACAGGGTTGGTTGTAACCAAGGTTGGTGTCATTGAAGACTTTTTCCCACAAGAAATAATAGAAATACCCATGTGTTCCAAACCTCCCAGAGCACCCCGTAACTAACCTTTTTGTAATAAAAAAGACCTGTGTAATGTGCATAATTTACCAGAAACACCAGTAGTTCCTAGTACATTCACCAAAAATGTAAAATGTGCCTGGTTTAGCAGAAGCAATTTCATACTGTGCTCACCGGGAGCTGGGGAGGTGGTTCAGTAGAATAAGCGCCAGAGTTCAATCCCCAGTTCCAAAAAATAATAATAATAATAATAATAAACATACTGTGCTCACCCTCAAGGTGACATCTGTGGCTTGCAGGAAGGAGGATGATGGGGAAGGTAGTTGCTGTTTAGAAGGAGAGTCCTTCCATTGCTCATCAGGACTCTGGCTCTCTGCTGTCTTCTTTAACACTGCTGTGTAGTGACATGACATTGTCACTAAGCAAGTGAATGCACCAGTTGGCTTTTTCTCTTGTGGGGTGGGTCTACTCTACAAATGTCTGCTGCTGGGGCTGGCGAGATGGCTCAGTGGTCTAAAGCACCTACTTAGAACAAGCTCAGCAAAACACAGGGACGGCGGTTCAATCCCCCAGCACCACATGCCAGCCAGCCCCGCCCCCTGGTGGGCTGAGCTGGCCACACACACACACACACACACACACACACACAGATAAATAAATAAGCAAATGTCTGCTGCTCTGTCCATGTTTTTTTTCAAGACAGGGAGTAGTGGCACACACCTGTAATTGCAGCACTGGGGAGGCTGAAAACAGGAGGATCACTATGAGTCTGAGCTGCATAGTGAGACCCTGTACCAAATACATAAAAAAAACAAAAAACAAGCAAGCAAAACTCTCAAACCATTTTTTCAGACAACTTTACTGCACTGATAGTCGCCCTCCTCCTCAGAAAATCCCTCACCGCCGTTCTCGGAGCTCAGCCAGAAGTTGCTGAAGGTCCCCTGTGCACAGTGCTCCTCCACCAGCTCCTCAGCACCACTGTCCACCTGCAGGCTTGCAGGCTGCTCTCCCACAGGGTCCGTGGAAGGCTCACGCTCCGCTAGCCAGCTTCCCTGTGCAGATCTTTTCTCTGTAAGATTGTCAAGATGGATTTCTACATGCTATACATATTAGCAAGATCAGTCGCACAAATGCCAGTCCCATATTTCTCTAGTTTCCATCTTTTTCTTCTTCTTCTTCTTCTTCTTCTTCTTCTTCTTCTTCTTCTTCTTCTTCTTCTTCTTCTTCTTCTTCTTCTTCTTCTTCCTCTTCTTCTTCCTCTTCTTCTTCCTCTTCTTCTTCCTTCTTCTTCCTTCTTCTTCCTTCTTCTCCTTCTTCTCCTTCTCCTTCTCCTTCTTCTTCTTCTTCTTTTTGAGACACAGTATTGCTGTGTCTTGAGCTCATTTGTGTAGCCCAGGCTGGCCATGAACTCGGCAATGATCCTCCTGCATCTGCCTCCCAAGTGCTGGGATCACAAGTGTGTGCCACTATGCACTGCGAGTTTCCTTCTTTGTAGTTGATAGATAGATAGATAGATAGATAGATAGATAGATAGATAGATAGATATAGCCAGTCCCTCTGTCCTTCCATATATATATTTCCCCCACACACACTGGGAATTGAACTCATGACCTTTAACTTGCCAGGCAAGCACTTATTCTACTTAGCTATCTCCCCAGCCCTGGTATATTTTTTGTTTTTTTGTATTTTAGGGAAGGACTACAGGGTGTTCAGGATCTCACTACTAGATCAGACTCGTGATCCACCTATTTATAGCCTCCCAAGAGCTGGGATTATAGGCACACACCACCACACCCAGTCTCAATTGCTGACTGAGCGCGCCCTGGGGGATAGGGTTGGTACAGCAGTCCCAGGATGGAACCCCCAGCCCCTGCGCCTGCTTTCAGGTGCTTTAATCCACTGAGCTATTTTGCTGGCCCTCCCTTCTTTGCAATTGTGATTGCTGTCTTTCCTCTCCCTTCCTTTCTTAGCTTCTTTTCTAACTTTTTGGGGAATTTAGCAGCGATATAAAGCACTGACCAAAATCACACCCACAGACACACACATCTGGGGTCAGTTTGCCCCTTATGTACACAGTTCTGGCACTGAGAATCTTTGTTGTTTACAGCCACATAGGCAGCTGGCAATTGTAACTCCACACTTCGGTCGCTGTAAGTTAAACCTCAGATTTTCCAATGAGGACGCAGGAGACTAGGCATCAAGTTGAGTCGCACAGCTCCCAGTGATGACCACCAGGTGGCACAGGTGTTCCTCCCCAGCTGGCCACAGCAGCCTTGGTGGACCAGGGGAAGGACAGAGGGACTGGCCAGGCAGCTGCTCCAGAGGACAGCTCGTTCTGAGACCTGGAGACAGCTGCTTGGCAGAGTAGAAAAAGCCCAGTGGTTTAGCCTACTTATGTTAGTTTCTGGTTCTTTGGGGCCTGGTTTTATGCTGTTATTAACCCACATTATTAGTAGCTTTTCTATAGTTTTTATGACTCTGTTTGTGTGAATTAAAACTAGTAAAACTAATAACTGAACACAAAACATTGCAACTTGGTAGCGTATGCAGACACACCGTGGAGTATTCAGTGGACGGGCTCCTGTGGGGGCGGCAGTGCTGGTGACTGAACTCAGAGTCACACATGTGGGCAAGCGCCGAAGTGTGTGCTTTTAACAGTCATGAGCTAGTAAACTGCTTCTGCTTATCTCAGATATGATCAAAAGGAAAAATACTGTTTGTAAAATGAGTAGTGATGAATAAAAGCAAAGGAGATGGTGCATTTTCTTTATGCTTTGTTTTTGTTTTTGAGACGGAGCCTCTATGTAGTCCAGGCTGGCTTTGAACTCTCTGTAGGCCAGGCTGGCCTCAAACTCTTGGGGATCCTCCTGCCTCAGCCTCCCAGTTGCTGAGATTACAGGTGCATTTCTTTGATTGCTCAAGTATGTGTATGTATATATATATATATATATAT